TTTGCTTCCATCATCACACCATCTCCCTCTGCCTCTGTCATCACATAGCCTTCACTGTGTATGACACTTCCATCTGCCTCTTAAAAGGACCCTTGTGACTCCACTGGGCCCATCCAGGATAAACCAGAGAAACCTCTCCATCTCAAGACCCTTAATTTTATGACATCTACAAAGTCTATTTTGTCATGTCAGGTAACACATTCACAGGTTTAGGGGACTGGGATGTGGATATTCAGTCTGCTGCACATCATTCCCACTCGATCATTCACAGGTTATATGACTGTTTACATATAAAAAGACAAGACAATTTACAGACTGTTAGAAATAACATGAGCTTTGCAAAATAATTCAATTGTTTTCCTATAGTTCAGATACAGAGAGGTGGAAAATATAATTTTAAAAAAGGTGTTATTTATGGCATCAAGAAATGGTAAGGTACTTTTCAATAAATCTAACCAAAGTTTCTTAAAGCCTTTATGAAGATTTTTTAAAAAGAAAGATGACCTAAATAAAGAGAAAGGTTATGTGATTGTCTACACTGTGTGTGTGTTAGTCACTCAGTTGTGTCCAACTCTTTGCAACCCCATAGACTGTAGCCAGCCAGGCACCTCTGTCCCTGGAATTCTCCAAGCAAGAATACTGATTGTCTACATAGAAAAAGACAAGATAATTTACAAACAGATTATTAGAAATAATATGAGAGTTTGGCAAAGTGACTCAATTGTTTCCTATAGTTCAGACACAATGAGTTAGAAAATATGATTTTTTAAAAGATGTTATTTATGGCATTAAGAATTGGTAAGGTACTTTTCAATAAATCTAACAAAAGATGATTAGTCTTTATGAAGACTTATTTTAAAAAAGAAAAATCTTAAAGATGACCTAAATAAAGAGAAAAGCATTATGAACACGTACAGAAAAACGAAAGGGTCATGAAGATGTCAGTTCCCCAATTTTACCGCAATTACGATAAAAATCCTGACATGGTTGTTTGGCAACTCAACAAGCTGATTCTAAAATGAAAATGTTAATGTACAAAAACATGTAAGACACGCACAAGAAAGACGAAGAGGATGGAGGACTCATCCTAGCTCACAACAAAACTTATTATAAAGTATGGTAATTAAGACATTGTTAACATTGGAACAGGGTTAGATAGCTACGCCACTGGAACAGAATACAGAGTATAGAAACACAGCCATAGATGAACGTCTGATATCTTTGACAAAGTGGCATTGCAGATCAGTGGAGAAAGGACAGATTTTTCCAAAACTGATGATGAGTAATTCGTTACTCATACATGCAGAATATAATAAAACTGAAACTCTTTCTTGGACCAAATACAAAAATCCAAGAGGAATTCAAGAATGCAGGAAGAAAACTCTTAGACGAAAATATGAGAGCATGTCTTATGATCTCTGTTTAGAGCAAAGATTTAATAAATGACAAAAAGCACAATCCATAAAGAAGAAAGCTGATAAAGTCAACATCATTAAAATTAAAAATGCCCAAATATCAAAAGACATCACTAAAAAATGAAAGGACAAACTGCAAACTGGGAAAATATATTTGTAACATACATCATTGACCAAATCCAGACTATATTGGTATAAATAACTTATACATCAAAAATTAAAAGCATTCAATAGAAAAATGAGCAAAAGATAAAGAGGTAAATCACAGAATAAGAAGCCAAAATGGCTAATAAATGTATGAGAAGATGTTCAATCTCATTATCAACTAGGGAAACGCAAGCTAGGCCATAATGAAGTACCATTTCATATCCAGCAGTTTGGGAAAATTGAAAAGTCTGACAATTTTGAATGTTTGTGATCAAATGGAGAATTGAGAACTCTTCCACGCTGCTGAAGTTAAGTGTAAATTGGTACAGGCACTTTGGAGACCAAGCAGGCAATATTTAAAAGTGAAAACCCATACATTCTTCAACCCAGCAGTTTCACTCATGGGGAAATGAATCACATAGAATGGCATGAGTACATACCCTAGGTTCTTGGACTTGTGCATGAGGAAACATTTACAAGAATGTTCATTGCAGCATTGTTTTGTACTAATAAAAAGTAGGAAGCAATCCAAGTGTCTGTCAACAGGACAGTGGGTAAATAAAATGTGGTATATTCATATATTGACAATAAAAGTCAGTACTATGAAAACAATGAGATTTTGAGCCAGGGAGTGATTTACTTTAGAAAGATCTCCATTTTAGATGCTTTATCTCAGTGCTATATAAAAATATAGTCTTTGGACAAGGTGGGTTGATTATCTGGTATTCCATGAATGAAATACAGAATTGAGTCTGAGTGTTTGCAGGCTTTTATAGCAATTTGAAGGTGATTTTATGTATGCTGACTCTAACCATTTAAAAAGTGTTTTGTATTTTATAATTCATTATAATTTCTTTTTTTTTCTGGAAATAAACTCTTACTTAGAAAAGTATTGGTGTATAATGAATTGAAAACAACTAATCAACCAACCAACCAAACCGCTCCTGAACAGTCTGAGATGTGTTGCTTTACCTTTAAGAAAATTGATATCTGTGTGATTTCTTACTCCACACTGTGTAGGTTTCCTTGTTCATTGGAGAACTTGTGCTTTACCCCTAAAATATTAACGTCCAGCCTGGGATTCTACAATTGTTTTGTTTGGTTCCGGATATTTGCCTTGCATATAAATATGTGGTTATTTTCTGCAGGCATTTTCCCCAGAGACACATGTAAAGGTACTTGTAATATCCTGTTGGTAAAAGCAAGTCTTTAAATTTAGAATCAAGTGGCAAGGTTGATATATAGATGTGTAATACATTGTGTTGCTTTCAAAGCAATATCCTTTCCAGTTAACTGACAAGTTTGCTGCTATTCTTAATCAAATTATCATGTAGTATGTGAAAACACTAGATAGGGTTTAAAGTATTTCATGGATTTTTTTATATAACAAATGGACCATATGCTATAGAGGAATGGAAAGATACAAATTAATAAAACGTAATCATTGTAAGAGAACAAAACCAAACCACATCTCCTCTCCAGGGCTTTGGTAGCAGGCGTCCTGAGAAGTTTCAGGCTGTGTGTGGTCTTCACCTGGGGCTTCAAAGCCTGCTTAATGGCCTTTGTGCCAGCATGGACCCAGGTTACTTGGGATTCTGCCTCTAAGAAACAACATGGTAGGGGCCTCTGATAAGTCCAAACATACCTGCTTTGGATCTCCCTTCCCCTCAGGAAAAAAACTCCTTTTTAAAATTTTCATTTTTGAAGCCCAATTACTGATTTTGAGGATCCTCTTACACCTGCCACTTCTCAAGGGAATATTTTTAGGTATAATCTTTTAATCTTTCTGGAAGGCTGGCAAAAACAGGGCCAATGCCTGCTTTTCCATCAGAAACATGCAATCTCTTTCCATCATAATGGTTTCCAAAGAACTTTGTCTTGCTCTCTGGGTTCATTTAAAATTTCTTATTTGTACCAACTTAGCGTCTTGGCCACGCTTTCCTGCCATTTCTCATTTCATTTCTTATGTTACTTAACATTTGCTGGAGACTTTGGGTCTTCTTTTTCACCAACGCACTATTCTAGAACATTCTCATCACTAATATGTTGCTTTGCTCTACACTTCATTCTCAGATTGTAATAGGACAAACACAAGGTGGATGCAACAAAGCATCTAGACGTTCTAAAACCTTGTACTCCCACCAGAGGTTTCAGCAGCAAATTATCGGCCTCTGTTTTTTTCTGGCCTCCCAGCGCGGTCCCAATGCACTAGCTTTAGGCCCTGGATGACGTCTGAGATCTTGATTCCAGTGGCACCAACCTGTAAAGTTAGTGATGTATCTTTTCCCCACTCCAGGAGCACCTAGCAAACCCAAAGCGGGCGATTGTATTAACTGACCGCCTGGGGTTGTTACAGAAGCACGCAACAGCGGGGCAGGATCTAAGCTGGGTAGGGAAGAAATGAAATGGGAGGGGGCCCGATAATGAGAAAGAAACGGGTCCTGCGACTTAAGTGTCCGAGGAGACAAGGTCATGGGTGAAGACAAAAGTGGCCGAATGAGAACAGAGAACAGCGCATTAAAAGATGAGGCGATAACTGATTCATCATCCAATCACTGATGGATGATTTATTCAGAAAAGCTTTGAAGCAGCAACTCCAGTGTCTCAGTTCGGCAGCTGCAGTGGCCAAAGTAGGAGATGAACACGGAAAGGTCCCCTGGAGCCAAGTTCAAATATATGCAAATGAGCGCTGTCATTGGCCAGCAGGGACGGCTCGGGGAGTGCAAAGGACGCCAGTCCAGAAGTCCAGACGGCCGTAGCAGCTCTGCCCACAGCTCGAGACGCCCCCTCCCCCAGCCCAGCCCAGACTCCAGAGCAGCTGACCACGCGGGCCACGTGACAAGCCCCAAGCCCGGCGCTAATTGGCTGCCAAATCCTCGCGGCCTCCCTCCGACAGTTTCCCAGAAATATTTTGGAAACTACGTTTCCCAGAGGGTCTTGCGACGCTGATTTCTTTCTGCTTTATTCCTGCGGGGGGCGGGGGGGAGGAGGTGAGGTACCGAGTTCGTTCTCTGTCCTTGCGGGGCGGGGGTGGGGGGCTCAGCAGTATCTGCCCCGGGAGGGCGAGACCTCGGGTGTGAAAGAAAATATCCCGTGCTGTGGAGGCGGGGGAAGCGAGCCGCCGCCGGGCCGCCCTCTTTACACAGAGGCCCCTGGGAAGTGCAGTAACTTGAAGTCGAGCCCCTCCAAGTTCAACTTGGGGGAGCTCGAGCCTCCCCGGTCCTTGGGGGTCGCGGGTGCGGTGGAAATTCTAGAGGGAAGCGGAGGGACCAGGTGGGCCTTCCACACCTGCCCTGCTCCACCTCCCGGCGGCGCCGCGCCCGAGCGTCAATGCCTCTACCTCCGGGTTATCACCAGCGGGAATGTCCCTTCTACAGTGTAGTACTGAGACTTTTCTAAGCTTAGGTTTTGATCAAGCAAATCTTTGAGAGATCTGAGAAGCTGGGGGGCTATTTCAAAAGAAACATGATGACGGCCCTATATTATTTCCCCAGCTCTTGCTTCTCATCGGACACTTTTAAGTGGTGCAAAGAGTCATGGCGTCCGGAGTGTGGGGGATCTATTTTATGTTGGGACTTTCCGCGGGCACTGACTTTTCGCCCTCAGGGGGCGCCCGTGAGGCTTCCCACTTTCCTCAGCGGATTGCTGCCCCTGTTCTGGGCGACCACGACCCTCCTCTAGCCTTCTTGTTTCTGCCTTGGAGGATGTTCCTGCTGCCCAGCTTGCTGGGGTACTGTTCTCATCTTAGGAAGGGAAAACTGAGGGTGTGGTGGATAAAGGTTGTTGACTTGACCAGACCTCACAGCTGAGTTCTGTAGTGTAGTAAGAACTCAGTACGGTTGGAACTAATTCTGATTCTTGTCTCAAACCTGAGAGGAATGGAACCTACATCTTTCTGAACTTAATAGTTGAGGGCAGGGGACTTCCCTGGTGGTCCAGTGGTTAAAACGTCACCTTCTAATGTAGAGGGTGTGGGTTCAATCCCTGGTCTGGGGAGCTGAGATGCCTCCCGGCCAAAACAAAACAAGGAGGTCCCCCCCCCTGACACCACCCCCAAATAAAAAAACCCAAACAAAAAAACACCCCAAAATATAAAGCAGAAGCACTATTGTAACAAATTCAATAAAGACTTGAAAAGTGGTTCACATTAAAAAAAACAACAACAGTTGAGGGCCCCTAATACTTCCTTCATGCCCATATTCTGGTACCTTTTACTGGTATAGACTTCTGAAAAGTTTAAGGAGTTGACTTCTTAAGTGCCGTCTATTTCTGGTGGGTCATTTGAACCTGTGCAACATCAGGTATGGCACAGCCAGTGGGGTTCTGCCCCTTCCAGAAATAAGTGACTCATATCACTCTCTGCTTATGTCTGTATCTGAAGGGCCTGGAAGAACTGGCAAGATGCAGAAAATCCAGGAAAGGGCTGGTACTGTCTAGTAGAACTCTCTGTGATGATTAAATTCTTCTATAGAGGCCCTGTCTGATAAATAATGTCTCAAATTCTGCTCAGACAGTAGTTCCAGTTTTCCTGGGTGGGCCTTGACTCTAGGCTGTTTCAAAAACAGTTCAGCCTCAGACCTCAGACCCTTGGGCTAAGTCTTCATGGGGCTCTCCAGATCCTTAGCTGTAACTATGCTATTCCTTTGTCAGCAGCTCGAGCCATGTGTAAGAAAACACATAGGGTACAGACAGATGGAATGTATATGGCATCCAGATATGGCCCATGCCTTGCAATCTTGCCACTTCAGCATCCTGCCCAGAGCAGATGCTGGTCAACACTGTGGATGGATGAACTTATCTTCTCTTCCCCAGGCTGGAGCTCTCTCAGCTACTGCAATTGGCTTCTAGGATCCCTCCCCATCATCATGGACTAATGGCCTTTGCCATCCAGTGGAGGTTAGTGACACCAGTGTTTCATAAACCACCTCTTCTATCCTGACCCTTTGTGGCTGTGTCAAGGAGCAACTGCAAAACCAGTGAGTAATAATTCCTTGGAAACATGCTGAGTCCAGCAATTTGGGGTGAGAATCTGATTTTCTATTTTGAGACCCTGTGTGCAAAATAAAAGCCCAAATGAGTACCTGCTACATATGATTAAAGGCAATGTCATTCTGGAGAAAGAGGACTAGATTTGGAGTCATCCTGGATCTGTGAGTGAAAAACTGAATGACTTTGGACAAGGTGTTCAGTGTCTCTGGGCCCCAGTTTTGTCCTGAGTAAAATGAAAACATTGTAGACTCTAAGCTTCTTCCTGTGGTTAAGGTGAATTCTTAAAAAATGGCTGGTCACCTTTGCGGTCAACTCACATTAAGTACCTTTCAAGTGATCTTCTGCCTGAATCAGGTATTTTTTTCATGGTTTAGTTTTTCTAACCCCTTTCACTTAACCCTTCCAACTTCCAGTGCCTTCCTCATTTGCTAGATCTTCGCAATTTTTTGGCTTCTTCATATTCAAGTAAACCGTGTCGGATACCAGCCAGTGAATCACCTGCTTCTTTTACCCTGCCTGGAGTCTCTTGACTCCCCAGCAGTCTCACTTCCCTGACAAAGCACAGAGAATGGCTCTAGTCTCCATCTTCTCCCATCCCGCCTGCCAGCCCTTCGCACTTCCCTGAAAAAACGGTTTCTAGTCTGACAGTTATCATTCTTGCCACTAGATGGCACATGTGTGCAAGTAATCAGCCTTTAGACACACAAACCTTTTAATTTTATGTATTTATACTCCAATTCACAAAAGCTTTGAGAGGAATTATAAAAGCACAAAATACACAAAAGAGTAAAATGAAGATTGGAGGGGATATAGAATAAGTAGAAGTGATAACTTCAGGGTGACATTAGCTCAAGGAGGTGGATACCAGCTGAGGTTTATGAGGTTGACTCTGAGCTTCCCCACAGCCAAAGTAAACAGGGAAACATGTGTGGTAATAAAACCCCGAATTTTACATGAGAAAAATATAGTAGTTACAGAAGAGAAGATACTGACTAAAGTATAGAAGACACCGATTAATTGTGGAACAAACATTTATGACTTAATTGGAGCTGTTTCTGTTGCAGGAAAGGGAACCCCCTTCCAGGTCCCAAGAGTAGGCTCTTGTCTAACACTTGGAAATGAATTGTCCAAGGAGACACATGTAATGACAAAGCAAGAGACTTTATTGGGAAGGGATGCCGGGTGGAGAGCACCAGGTTAAGGGAGCCCAGAACTGCTCTGCCACGTGACTCGAAGTTTCAGGTTTTATGGTGACAGGGTTAGTTTTGGGTTGTCTCTGGCCAATCATCTGACTCATGGTCCTTTCTGATGGTGCTTGTACCACTTAGCCAAGATGGATTCCAGTGAGAAGGATTCTGGGAGGTATTGGTAGGACATTAGGACTGACAGCTCCTCTCTCCTTTTGCCCTTTCCTGAATTCTTCTGGTTGATGGTAGCTAGTTCCATATTCCTTACAGGACCTCCTGTTGTATTATAACTCATGCAAGTTGCCACAGTGGTGCCTGGCCAGGGCAGGTGGTTTTGGTCAGTGGTTCCCCTAATGTTTCTGTGATGTCCTTCTTTGCAGGCCTATGGTGTGATGCTGAAGTAGGGTTGAGGACAGGCAGTTAGTTCTCTGGGGTTCAAACACTGGGTTTCCAGGACAGAGTGAATTTATTTCTGTGTGCCTTTGTATTTTCAAACTGTGGAATTTGCACGAACTCCCTCTCCCCCACTGGGATTCGGGTGGAGTTTGGGGAGAGTCAGACCAGCAAGCTAAGTCAGTCCTTAGCTCTGTGAGAAAATTAATGTTATTTTAAGCTGCTAATTTGGGGGGTTAACTGGTTACACAGCAGTAGATAACTAATGCAGAGTTATTTAATGGAAACCCAGGGTGGCATCATGGATCATTTTACATGGGTGGTTCAACTTGGTTTCAGAGACAATGAAAATATTTTAGGAGAAATGAATAGGCTTCAAATCTGATAGACATGGGCACCAATTCAAGCTGTGTTTGTGGAAAGACAGAGGTAGAAGGATTCACATAAAATGTTTACAAAGGAGATTTCCCTGCAAGAGGATGGTAAAGACAAGGGCCTCAACTGTCCTGTTCAATGTGGCACTCTCAGGGCCTAGCACAGGGCCTGGCACATAGTAGGATTTCTACACATCTTTCTTCGATGTATGAATGAATGATGAACTATAACCTTGGGTGAGCCATTCAGTTATCTGGGCAACCATCATTAACTGAGGTTCTACCAAATGCCGAGTTTACAATGTTGATTCAAGTCTCTGGAACTTTTGTGTCCTATACAGGTTACATCCACCTTTCCCCCTCATTGTGCTTTCCCTGTCTTTTTTTTCCCTCCACTTGTTTTTAATTAATTAATTTTATTTTTGGCTGCGCAGGGTCTTCATTGCTGTTCGAGGGCTTTTCTCAAGTTGTCGGGGGCGGGGGCGGCTCTCTAGTTGTGGTGCACAGGCTTCTCATTGCTGATTCTCTTTTTGCAGCTCCAGGGCTCTAGAACTCAGACTTAGTAGTAGTGGTGCACAGCCATAGTTTGCTCTGCGGCATGTGGAATCTTGCCGGCCCAGGAATCGAACCTGTGTCCCCTGCATTGGCAGGCAGATTCTTAACCGCTGGACCTCTGGGGAAGTCCCTCCTCACTACCTTATCGCCTTGAAATTCTTATTATTTTTGTAGAGACTTGCATGTGCTTTAACTTTTATGCTGAAAACTTTCTCACTGGAATAGTGTTCCTAGGTCCTTGTGCTGTGCTTTGCCAAGCTGCTTCAGTTCTATCTGACTCTTTTCGACCTTATGGACTGTAGCCCGCCAGGCTCCTCTGTCCATAAGATTCTCCAGGTAAAAATAGTGGAGTGGGTTGCCATGCCCTCTTCCAGGGGGGGTCTCTTCAACCCAGGGATTGAACCCTTGTCTCTTGTCTGCTGCATTGGCAAGCAGGTTCTTTTTTTTTTTTTTTTCCATTTATTTTTATTAGTTGTAGGCTAATTACTTTACAACATTGCAGTGGTTTTTGTCATACATTGAAATGAATTAGCCATGGATTTACATGTATTCCCCATCCCGGTCCCCCCTCCCACCTCCCTCTCCACCCGATCCCTCTGGGTCTTCCCAGTGCACCAGGCCCGAGCACTTGTCTCATGCATTCAACCTGGGCTGGTGATCTGTTTCACCCTAGATATACATGTTTCGAAGCTGTTCTCTTGAAATATCCCACCCTCGCCTTCTCCCACAGAGTCCACAAGTCTGTTCTATACATCTGAGTCTCTTTTTCTGTTTTGCATATAGGGTTATCGTTACCATCTTTCTAAAGTCCATATATATGTGTTAGTATACTGTAATGGTCTTTATCTTTCTGGCTTACTTCGCTCTGTATAATGGGCTCCAGTTTCATCCATCTCATTAGAACTGATTCAAATGAATTCTTTTTAATGGCTGAGTAATATTCCATGGTGTATATGTACCACAGCTTCCTCATCCATTCGTCTGCTGATGGGCATCTAGGTTGCTTCCATGTCCTGGCTATTATAAACAGTGCTGCGATGAACATTGGGGTGCACGTGTCTCTTTCAGATCTGGTTTCCTCGGTGTGTATGCCCAGAAGTGGGATTGCTGGGTCATATGGCAGTTCTATTTCCAGCTTTTTAAGAAATCTCCACACTGTTTTCCATAGTGGCTGTACTAATTTGCATTCCCACCAACAGTGTAAGAGGGTTCCCTTTTCTCCACACCCTCTCCAGCATTTATTGCTTGTAGACTTTTGGATAGCAGCCATCCTGACTGGCGTGTAATGGTACCTCATTGTGGTTTTGATTTGCATTTCTCTGATAATGAGTGATGTTGAGCATCTTTTCATGTGTTTGTTAGCCATCTGTATGTCTTCCTTGGAGAAATGTCTGTTTAGTTCTTTGGCCCATTTTTTGATTGGGTCATTTATTTTTCTGGAGTTGAGCTGGAGGAGTTGCTTGTATATTTTTGAGATTAATCCTTTGTCTGTTGCTTCGTTTGCTATTATTTTCTCCCAATCTGAGGGCTGTCTTTTCACCTTGCTTATAGTTTCCTTTGTTGTGCAAAAGCTTTTAAGTTTCATTAGGTCCCATTTGTTTATTTTTGCTTTTATTTCTAAAATTCTGGGATGTGGGTCATAGAGGATCCTGCTGTGATTTATGTCGGAGAGTGTTTTGCCTATGTTCTCCTCTAGGATTTTTATAGTTTCTGGTCTTACATGGCAAGCAGGTTCTTTACCACTAGCACCACCTGGGAAGCCCTCTTAGGTCATTATAAGAAGAATGACCTCTTAGGTTATTCTGGTCACAATTTTTCTGTGAGAACCAGAGTTGCCCAGGGCATTGGGTTTATTTTGTATAATTTTGTCTTAGGGCCTGCCCTATTTCTCCCCCCCCTCTTCTTTGTAGAAAAATGACTGGAATTGGCTGATGCTCAATAATAACAGTTTAGTCCCCCTAAGATGACCACTGTCTAGGGTCTGTTTTGTCCGTTTCACCCTGACTTTGGTGCTGACCATTTTTTTTTGTGTGGCTGTGCTGGGTCTTTGTGCTGCTCAAGGTCTTTCTCTAGTTTCGGTGAGCCAGGACTCCTCTCCAGTTGTGGTGCACGGGCTTTTCATTGTGGTAGCTTCTCTTTTGGTGGAGTACGGGCTCTAGAGCTTGTGGGACCAGTAGTTGTGATGCACGGGCTTACTTGCCCCATGGCGTGTGGGGTCTTCTTGGACCAGGGATTGAACCTGTGTCCCCCAGTTGTAAGGCGGATCCTTAACCACTGAGCCACCAGGGAAGTCTGTTTGGTGCTGATTTTAACCAGATTGTACTATAATAGAAATTTTCTGGGGGTGGAGAAGATTGAAGCAGAGTAATTTGCTTCAGATTCTTGTCCCACCAATTTGTAAACCCTCCTTTCTCCATAATTAGCTCCTGGCTGCCGCCTATGGGGTCTCACAGGGTTGGACACAACTGAAGCGCCTTAGCAGCAGCAGCAGGTCTCCTCTTCCTCCTCCCCCACTTCTTCACCCTTCTCCGCCTAGACCAGCATTATCACCACACAGCCATTATTTATTGAGGGTCTACTACATGCTCATCCCCGAGTTATGCAGCTGCTACAGGCATTATTTAAGTCTGTGCGACAGCCTGAGAATTGCCTTGCTAATTTTGTTAGTCCAGGTCCATCAAGAAGCAGACACCAAGCTGGAGTTAACTGTGCAAGGGTTTTACTGGGAGGAGCACCTGGGTGGGAGCTAGAGAAGGCCAGAAGGGCCATCAGACCCCAAGTGAAGAAGAGAAGGTGGGGCAAGTGTCCCAGATTGCCCTGCAGTTTCAGGAAGATTCAGTCTAACAAAGGTTCGGCAAAGCTGTAGGGCCTCCTTGAGTCAAAGTTAGCCAATAAAGGAGTCCCTTGTCCCAGGACTGGGTCTGACTTTGTATGCCATTGAACTCAGCCATCGGTTGGGGCAGCCCCTGGGAAGCATGGCCAATGGATTTCAAAGCACAGGAGCTGGTGTCTTAGCTCCCTGAAGCAGAAAGAACAATTTTTGTGACAGCCAGTTTTTGTTAATCTTTCTTTTCATATAGCAGAAGCCTGATTTATTTGGGGGTGGCAAAGACCTGATTCTGAATGAAAGGATTTTAGTTCCTAGCCTTCCTTGCAACTAGGTGTGGCTCTGTGACAATATTGCAAGATTCCTGGTCATGCAGCATAAGCAGGAATGTTATGAAGACCTGCCAGAAATGCTTCTTAAGGGTATCTGACTTGACTAGCAGGTGCATCCCTTTTTCCCTTCCTTCTTTCAGGGACTATAGACAAAATGGCTGTAGCCTTAGCAGCCATTTTGTGCCAAGAGGCAATATGTTAATAATGACACGGCATACCGGAAGACAGACAGCAAGAGCCTGTGTCCCTGATGACTAGAGACCTTGTACCGGTTCTGGATTTCTTAGCTCCAACTTCAACCTGAGAGGAAAATAAACTCATTTTGTGTAAGCCATTGTTACTTTGTTTGTGTTATAAATAGGTAGATCTAATCTTAAAATTGGTACAGTTTCTCATCGTTACCACAACTCTACCAGGTGGGCCTACTTCTGCCCATTTTACAGCCAAGGAAGAGGAATCATAGCATGATTAAGTGTTAGAACCTAACTTACAGTCCAGAGTGGTGCTTATAATACCTTCAGCTGCAAATAACAGAACAAATGAATTGCCTGGGAAACTTGCTAAATACACAGATGGCCACACTCCTCTCCCCTGGAAATCCTCATTCAATAGGCTCATGTTAAGGCCTGAGAATTTGTTTTATCTCAAACAAGCAGTCCAGGGTGTCTTTATCTTTGAGGAAGATTGTAAATCCCAATGTGGATGACGACCAATGATAGGCATGTTGACTAGAAAGGAGATGTAATTCTTCACATAAGATTTTTGGGCTTCCTTGGTGGTCCAGTGGTTAAAGAATCAGCCAGTCAATGCAGAAGACACGGGTTGGATCCCTGGTTCGGGAAGATTCCACATGCCTCGAGGCAGCTAAGCCTGGGTGCCACAACTACTGAAGCCCATGCACCCTCGAGTCTGTGTTCCAAACCAAGAGAGTAGCTCCCACTCTCTGCAACTAGAGAAAGCCTAAGTGCAGCAATGAAAACCCAGCGCAACCAAAAATAAAAATAAATAAACAAATAAATCTTTTTTTTTTTTTTTTTAAAGAAGACTTATGTGAGCATGAGAGTCGTGCGGGGGAGCTGGATAGAAGTGCAGATTCTTGGCTCCACTTTCATAGATTTGGAGTCAATAGATCTTCTGTGGAACCTGCGGATTTGCATGTTTCAAATGCTCCCAGGTGACACTGATACCTGTGATTCCCGGAGTCTAGCATGATGGACCCCGGCTTCATGGTTCGGAGCATTGCCGGGAGAGGGCAGACCTGGGTTTGAATCCTGACGCTGCCATTTACTGGCTGGATGCCCTGTAGCAGGTTGATGAAGCTCTGTGCATCTCAGGTTTCATCATTTTCAAACTGGAGAACATAATAAGGCCTACCTCACTGAGTTGTTGTGAGGATTAAATGAGGTAATTTATGTAAAGCTCTTAGCTCTGCATAAATAAGCTCTCGGTAAATGGTGACTGTTGTTATTATCATACTTCATGCATAGGTCTTGCAAACAGGATGAGCACAGAGTTCTGTCACTATGGATAATTTATACAAATCCCTAGGGAACTATGATTCTGCTGAGGCTGGTATAGGAAGCTGGACTCCTGCTTTCTCTCTCTTCTGGCCTTGAGCATGAGTAAACTGCCTGTGCAGAGGCAGAAGTGGAGCGAAAGTCCTCTGAGCCCTGCTCCTAGGTTCCCCCAGAGGCCACATCCCCACCTTCCGCTCTCCGACCAGTCTGCCAGCCACCGACATGTCTGCACTCAACAGCCCTGTTTTCTCACTTCCCATTCCCTCTGGAATCACTGCAATCTGGATTATGCTGTCACTGCTTTACTGAAGTGACTCTCAGGCAGGTCACCAGTGGCTTCTAGACTGTCACATCCAAGTTATTTTAATTTATTTATTTGACTGCCCCAGGTCTTCGTTGCAGCACACATGATCTTCAGTTTTTGTTGCAGCATGTAGGGTCTAGGGCTTCCCTGTGGCTCAGACAATAAAGAGTCTGCCTGCAATGCAGGAGATACGGGTTTGATCCCTGGGTCAGGAAGATCCCCTGGAGGAGGGAATGGCAACCCACTCCAGGATTCTTGCCTGGAGAATCCCATGGACAGAGGAGCCTGGTGGCTACACGCCATGGGGTCACAAAAAGTTGGACACGACTGAGTGACTGAGTGCATGTGCATGCACGTGTGCACGCACACGCGCGCACACACACACACACGTAGGATCTAGTTCTCTGACCAGGGATTGAACCCAGCTCCCCTGCATTGGGAATGTAGAGTCTTAGCCACTGAACCACCAGGGATGTCCCCTCTGTAAGGTGAGTGCGGAGAAAAAGAGAGCGATCTGGGCATTCAGGCAGAGAAAAGATTTATTATAGGAAGAAAGAAAGAAAGTGACTGGCTTTAGAGAAAACCCTCCCTTTACAGCCAACCCTTCTTGCACACTATCGATGGGATATTGTGCCCTGAAGGGAGGGGGCCTTAGTTCATCTTTAACCCACAACTGGGTCTTGTGGTCACATAGTCGAAGGGGTCTCCTAGTTGGGTGGTCATGTAGTCTTGAGAAATTGGCACCAGAAGGGGAAAAACAGGATCTCGCCTTAAGGGAAAAAAAACAGGATGCCCACTAGGGCAATGTGGCCACTGTGACTTCATCCCTTGTTTGTCATGTCACCACAATGGGCCATATTTTAACTATACACTATGAGCCCCTGGTTATTTTAAAGTCTTCTGCCTTGAACCCCTGCAGCAACTGTCCTAGCTGTCTCCTTATTCCCTCCAGGAATTTGGCTCTCTTGGCTTCCAGGACTCCATGGCTCTTTTCTTTTTCTAAATCTGTGATCACTTCCTCTAGCCTTTGCTGAAACTCTCCTTGCATCCTTGTCTTACACAGCTTTGTTCTCTGCCTTTTGAATCCTTCATTTGCCTTGAATTCCTTTTCACTGTTCCTTTCCTTCCCCTGACCAGAACCCACCATCACAGGTGAATGATCTGCCTTCTTAGGGAATCCTGAATGTCTTCCTTCATCCTTCCATGAGACGACTTCAATCAGGCCCAAGCAGCGTGCTCCAAAGTCTTCTTCCCTGGTGTTCCTAAGAGGCCTAGCAATGCCCATGAAAACAGGACCTGGGTTTCCTGTCAATCAGGCCCCAGCGGGACCCTGAGACACCCTTCACTGTCCCACATTATACAGGTATCAGAGACAGTCACTCCTCAGGGTATGTTTCCCATCCATTCTCTTAGCTCAGATGCTAAGGCCTCATGTCCAGTTTATTTCTCCACTGATAGCCAGGGCCTTTCAGAGGAGTTGGGGCCATTCTTCCTTCTGCCACTGACCTATCTGACTTTGGAGCTCACTTTCTCCTTTCCAGTTTTGATTTTCTCCCCAATGAAATGCATGAGTTGGACTAGTCATCTCTGGATTCACCTCTAACCATGGCCACCATCCCAGTTAGCTTTCTCATCCGTTGAATGACACTTGACTCAGTGGACATGAATTTGAGCAAACTCTGGACATAGTGAAGGACAGGGAAGCCTGGTGTGCTGCAGTCCACTGGGTTGCAAAGAGTCAGACACAACTTAGCGACTTGAACATCAACAACAAGGCACACAGATATGCTCATAGAGGCACAAAACATTTCTGGAACAAGTCCTAAGAAATGGACAGGGGTTTCCTGTGGGGTATGCATGTGGGATTCTGGGGTGCTGGATATCCAGACTCTTCTTCTGTGCATCCAGCCTGCTCTTCAGTGGATCCTACTCTGTACAGTGGCTGGAATCTGTTCTGATGGGTCTGCACCCTTCTTGCAGTTGTAAAATGTTTTGAACGCAATTCCTGTTATATCCTTTTGATGACTGAACTTTAAAAAATAACAACTGTGGGGATGTATCACTTTCATATTTAGGCACTGGAATCAAAGAGATGTTTCCAACTTTGTTTTTCTTTATTTTTTTTTTAACTGTGTGACTTTCAGAGTCTTAGTTCCACAACCAAGGATCGAACTCAGGCCCTTGGCGGTGAGAGCATGGAGTCCTAACTTCTAGACTGCCAGGGAATTTCCTCATTTTCCTATTTTAAAACAAACTAGTTAGAGAATACTAATGCTTCTAGAACTCTACTGCTGGGTCACAAGCCTCCTTCTTTTCCACGAACATTGCTTCCCTCTGTTCTCTGTGAATGAGCCCGTTCCCTTTGTCCTATGGCTGGCAGCTTGTCTCCTGCAGATCCATTCACCCTGAAGCCTTTTGGTTCACAGCCTAGTGATGAAGACGGCCCAGGGGCCACAGGGTTGATTATAGTTGTAATTTACAATTATACAATGGTATTTCAATTGCTCATGAAATTCTGACTTCCTGGTTGAGTTGGAAAGTTACAGTGTTCTGATTTGGCTGAAGTAGTATAGGCTGCGCTTACCATAAGAACTTGGCATATGAGACTGAATTCGGAAGTATTGGACAACAAACGTAAATGATTTTCTTCCGTTCCTTTACTCTACACAGCTACGCATATGTCGTTTGCAGCTCACCCTTTGTCGAAAAGTGAAATGACTTATCCTGATGCCTTTGAATTAAGAATTGTGACATCCAAGTGGCCTCTTTAAACAAGATACAGACAGACTGTGCTGTTGGAAGCTGCATGAACCTAAGACAGTGTTGCTGGAATCTGGTAGTTTTTGGTTCAGATGCTCTAGGTCCACTCTGTGTGTATGTGTGTTCAACATAAGCAAGCTTAGTTCATTTACAGTGTTGTCTTATGTCCAGGTGTACCACACACGGATTCATGTGTGTGTGTGTGTGTGTGTGTGTGTGTGTGTGTATAGTCATAAATATGTGTATATATGTATGTATATGGGGAAATCTGAGGTAGTTCAGTGGTAAAATGGTTAAAAATCTGCCCACGATGCAGAAGACATGGGTTCAATCCCTGGGTTGGAAAGATCCCCAGGAGAGAGAAATGGCAACCCACTCCAATATTCTTGCATGGGAAATCCCATGGACAGAGGAGCCTGAGAGGCTACATAAAATCCATGGGGCCTCACATAGTCAGACACAGCTTAGTGACTAAACACAACAACAACAACATGTATATGTGTATACACACACACACATTCTTTTTCAGATTCTTTTTCCTTATAGGTTATTACAAAATACTAAGTATAGCTCCTTGTGCTATATAGTAGGTCCTTGTTGGTTATCTATTTTATATATAACAATAGTGTGTATATGTTAACCCCAACCTCCTAATTTATCTCTTCCCCCACTC